AAGAGAATGTGTGAAAGGAATAACTCCGGAGAAAGAAAAGGGCATTAGAAATTAACTAGGAGTTCAAAAAGGGCTTGGCTGGGAAACTGCCACGTCCAACTTTTCAGTCTTGGTCGCACGTACAGAGCCTTTGGTCGCACATTCGGGCCTTTTAGTCGCCCCTGCGATTTCACGTAATCCCAAACCCAAGAACCGCCCCTTTACCGCACCTACACCACCATTGGCCGCACCTGTAGGACACACACCGTACATGCGGGAAATCCCTCTGCATGTATAGAACTCTACAAAAATCTTTCCTACCTTTCTGTACTAATCTGCATGTACGTGACATCCCCGCCGCACATGCGGTTAGACTTGTTGATGTCTAACTCCTTGTGAGTTATTTCTAAATAGAAATTAACACGATTTGTTGGTTATGCCACCTCATCACTATTTGGTTGGTTACGCCACCTCATCGCTATGTGGTGCTGACTGTATTCCATGTCAGTGCCACCACATGCTAATCTCAACCTGGCCACATCCTTAGCACATTTGCATTTTGAGCTCGCCATGTCATTGCCACCAAACTTTCTGGAGCAAATAAGAAAGCGTCTTCATGGTGCCTCACGTTAAATGTAAAGTGCCACATCAAACTCCACACAGCCCATTGCCTACGCCATGTGAGCATGTATGTCCTTGCGGTGCGAAAGCATACACCCTAGAACCTTTTCCACAATTCCTTATTCAAAGAAATATTCCATGTGAGTTTAACCCATTACATTTTTCTCATCTTTTTGATGTAGGACAAGCCACAAAGCTAAAGGAGATTTCCAAAGGAAATAAGGAAGGTTTTTGAAAAACTATAAAAAAAAAAAAAAAAAGCAAAACAAAACAAAACAAAACAAAAAAAAACAAAAAACAAAAAATAAATCCCCAACAGATTGTACTTTCAAATTTTAGTTTATAAAATTATTTTATACAATTATTCATACACATATTCATTGAGAATCGACGGGTCCTGACAAATATTGCTTCCTTAAAGGTTTGAGGCTCATTTTCCAACAAATTAAGAAGTCAAGAGAAAGAGATCTTGTTGTTTTAGCTCTCTTACTGCATCTCTTCTTTTTCCTTTTCTTCTCGTTTCTCCTCAATCTGTCCTTGACTACTAGTCAAATGCAGTGTCAGGTTCTTTTAGAAGAATTCGATTCTTGTGTCCATTTACAAGGAAATACATGTTCAAAAATGACACATTTCTATGAATATACAATCAACAGTCTTCGGTCCTATGATGACATTTTTTGGGTTAGGAATTTCCATCTTAGCCACACACTCCCACAATTTTTAAGTATTTGTAAGAAGGATTTAGACATTTCCGCAATTCATAAGGTGTTTTGAGTGTTTCTTATGGGGCATTTTGGTGAGAATATAAAAATTGGTGGAAAGGTTTGCTTCTCCCAACAAGTTCTGAGATAATTCTAAACTAATCAACATGTCATTCATATTTTCTTTCAATGTTCAATTTTTTCTTTTAGCAACTCTATTTTTGTTGAGGTGTATAAAGTGCAATGGTTTGATGGTTTATTTTGAATTGTGAACATTAGTCACCAAAAGGTGCATCATATTCACAACACCTGTCACTTCTTAATTCCTTAATTTCTTTACCTAGTTGATTCTCAACCTGATTCTTATATTGAATGAATTTTTCTGAGACTTCATTTTTCCTACGTAACAAGTATACATAGCAGTACCTAATACTATCGTTAGTAAAAGAAATGAAGTAATTTTTGCCCTTTCATGTTTAAAAAAATTTCAAATCACAAATATCACTAAGAATTAAATCCATTGGTTCAGTACTTCTTTCAATTGATTTGAGCCGTGTCTTAGTCACTTTTGATTCACCACACACTTCACATTTATGATTTTAAACTATTTAAATTTTAGACAAATATTCTAAGTATATTATGCTATGTGGCGAGTCAAAGTTAACATGTTCTAATCTACTATGCCACATATAAGACTCAAACAAATAAACTAAAGATGTTATCTTATTAATATAGGAATTACAATTGGTGCATTCATTTTGAACAATCTACCGCACAAGTATATCCATTCCCTACTGACATGAACATTTCATCCTTACAAAGTACAACTTATCATAAACAAAGACCAATTTAAACACATTCTTGCCTAACAGATATCCAGCCACTAAATTCTTTTGATTTTCTAGAACATGTAGCGCATTGTTAAATGTGAGCTCCTTACCCGAAGTCATCGAGAGCACAATCTTCCCTTGTCCTTCAACTTTGGCAATCGAAGAGTTTTCCATGAGGAGTTGTTCGATATCCTTTACCAGTTGGTAGGTAGCGAACATTTTCTTGTATACACAAACATGCCGAGTTGCACCAGTATCTACCCACCATTCCTTGAAGTTTCCCATCAGCTTTACTTTGAACACAACTATCGATAGGTTCATTTTAGACACTTTGTCAAACAAATCCTTCACTTTGATTATGTTAGCTTGAGCATAATTCACCTTCATGGAGGGACCCTCTTGATCATTATTGTTCTGACAATCCTTTGCTCGATGCCCCAATATTATTGCATGAAAAACACTTCCTCTTGAACTTCTTAGGACCATTCTTAGAACTAGGACCAGAGTTCTGTCTCGAGTTTTGAACAAAACACATTCTCTTCCTGTCTTTCTATCCTTGCTCCACTATGTTAGCCTTTGCCTTAAATAGGAAAGCCTGATTTTTATTTTTATTTTTTGCATTACAGTTATCCTCTTCAATCTGTATTCAGACAATCGAATCTTCTATTATCATTTCATTGCGCTTGTGCTTAAATAGTTTTTGAAATCTCTCCACAATGGTGGTAGCTTTTCAATGATATCAGCCACTTGGAAAGACTTGTTAAGAGTTATACCCTCTACATGAATTTCACGTAAAATCACTTGATGCTCTTGGATATGGCTAATCAAGGACTTCAAGTTTGCCATTAAATGCTCAAAGAATTAGCTAACCATACATTTCTTTATACCAACTTACTTCGTCTTGTAGTTCTTGTCCAAAGATGCCCACAATTCTCTAATCATTTTCAGTGAACTATACTCGTATATAACGTGTTGTCCAAGCCATTCAAAATATAATTCTAGCATAGAAAATCAGAGTTCTTCCAAGCCCTTAATGCAACAATTACTTGCCGATTAGTTTCATCTTATTTTAGTTTGTTAAGAATTTGTAGAACTTATGCTCAAAAACTTCGTAGAGCTAAGCTTGTCTTGGATTGCTAATCATAGGGAGCTAGAGATTGTCTTTAGTTCAAATTTGGACTGAAGAGTGTTGTTCGGGTCGTGGTGTTTATCATAGATTTTGTTTCAATAATCTAAATCTTTCATTTTGTAGGGCTTTTCGTGTATATATCATTCACAAAAGAAATTAAGTCAATCTAATAATCGTAACTTGTTCAATTTCTCATGTTTGTCACCAAAAAGCAGATAGTCTATTTTAAAAGATATACTTGCAATTCATTTTTTTTTTAAAATGAGATATCACTACAACAAAAAGAAGATTTCGCGACTAAAACTGGATTTTCGTCGCTGAAAGCAGTAGAATTGGCGACTAAAATGGAATTAGTCGCCAAAATTGATCACTTTTGCCGACTAAAAGAGTTTAGTCGCCGAATATAAGGGTTTTAGCGACTAAAAGTCAGTTTAGTCGCCGAATATAGGGATTTTAGCGACTAAAGGTTTTGTAGTAGCCAAAAGTGACAGTTTTTGGCGACTAAAATAATTTAGTAGCCAAAAGTATAGGTTTTGGCGACTAAAAAACAGTTTGGTCGCCGATTCTACGTGTTTTGGCGACTAAAAACAGTTTGGTCGCTGAAAGTGAAGCTTTTTGGCTACTAAAAAAAAATTAGTAGCTAAAAACAATCAATTGGCGACTAAAATTCAGTTTAGTAGCCAAAAGGGGACGTTTTTGGCGACAAAAAACAGCTTTAGTCTCCAAAACTGGTTTTTTTTAGGCGGGACTGAATTTTTTTAGCGACTAAAAACTAATTAGTAGCCAAAACTATACAATTGGTGACTAAAAAATAGATTTAGTCGCCAAAAGTGATCTAATTTTTTTTTAGTAAATAATTTATTTTTTACATAAAGTGTATTGAATAAAAAATAATTATTTTCATATATATAGTTTTGTATAAATACCGGTCAAAGTAATGTATAAATAATATATGTTGCAACTATATTCATGTGATGTTGTAGTGGCAAAGTGGGGAGAGTGTGTTGGTAAAGGTTTGGAATGTGAGATGGGTCGGTGGTTCAAATCTTGAGAATAGTAGAGGGTAAATTTTTTTTTCTAAAATATGCTTTTGACGACTAAAAACAGCGGTCGCCAAAAGATTGACTATTGGCGACGAAAAGTTTAGTCGGCAAATGTATAAATAAATAAAAAAATAATTCACTATTGGCGACTAAAAGATTAGTCGCTAAATGTATAATTTTCAAAAATGTAATTGACTATTGGCGACAAATTCTTTGGTCGCTGAAGACTAAAACTTTGCCGACTAAAACTTTTTTAGTCGCCAATACCTCCGCCGACCATCTATTCGCGACAAAACCGGCGACTAAAATATTTAGTCGGGGAAAGTGAAAAGTCGACTTTTGGCGACTAGAAAAGGACTTTTGGCGACTAAAAATTTAGTCACCAAAGTTTTTTCTTGTAGTGTATATTGAATAGGGTACGATTGTCGGATTGTCCTAATTTTTTGTGTAGATAATATACATAAAGAATTTTACAAAATGAATAATTCAACTTATAGAAATGAAACTCATAGCTGGCCTCACAAGCACGAACAACACCTAGTGCATATCCTGGACTAAAAGGAAGCCCAGCCCGCTAATCAAATAGGCTTTTGCAATTTTTCCTTTCATAAAACTTATATGTAGCCTCTGCATTTTGCTTTTGAATTACAGCGTAGAGCTTGTCTTACTAATCATTTATATGTTCAATTGGCAGCTTGGCGTTCGTTGTTTCCCCCCAATTATTATATGTGCTTTGAATTTGTCAATCTTATCTCCAAGACAATCAGCAAGGCAATGATAACCATTCTTGGATGTGGTATATACTATGAAGTAATTAATTAATCTTCATTTGGTGCTATAGTAAGTTTTGAAGCTTATTTGTTTGTTTTTCTTGGAAGTATCTAACGAGCCAAGGAAAGTGAAGAGGGAAAAAGAGAAGCACGAATGGTCTCTCCGAACCATGCATGAACTTATTCAGCACTCTTCCGTGGAGAGCTTTGCGGATGGTGGTACTCGCCCACGTTACGAGACCTTCGATCTGCCGCCACCGGAGGTTTATGGTATCTACGAGTTCTCACTCTCTTCATTTTTTTTATTATATTTTTATTATTTTTAAATGATTTTATAATTAAAAAAATGTTGCGTGTCTCCAAGCAAGATTCAAAATTGTGTTCTTTTGAGCCCTTACTAATTTGCCACTTTGACCTATTTTAGGAAGATAATTAAAAGTTAATTTTTTGATTTTTTTTAAAATTTTTCTTTTTAAAAAAAATGTATAAAAAATATAAGAGGTGATGTGACTCAAAATAGACTAAAAATTGACTTTTGACTTTTTTAGCTCTTTCCAAATTTCAAATTAATCAAAAAAACAAAAAAACTAATTTGCCACTAATTTGCCAAAGTTACTAAAGCGAGAACGAAAGCGAAAATGCGAGTATCCTTGTGTATGCTTTGTAATATATATATATATATATATATATATAAGTATTTGGGTAAATTATACTGACTTTTCTTAAAATTTTGAAAAAATATAATAAATTTCATAATTTTAATATAATTATATTGAGTTCTCTTCAAATTTTAATTTACATAATACTTAGTTTCATTTTTATCCACAATTCAAATTAACATGGATAAAAATAATATTGTCATCTCTTTTTGGTTGAAATGTTTTTTTTTATCTTTATATTTTTGATACTATTTGTATTAATTACAGTCACGTTAGCTTTATTAAAATGAAAGTCAATATAATTATGCCGAAACTGTGAAGTTACTTGTATATTCTCTAAAATCCAAGGGAGGAATTATCTACAAATAGTATCTCTATGAAATCTGATTTTCCCAAAGGGAAATGATTTGTATCCCTAAAAAGTTGCCCCCTAATCCCCCTAATTTCCAATTTTGGAAACTGTTTTCTTTTTTTCCTTCTTTTTTCCTTTTTTTTTTCTTTTTAGTATTTTGCCTTTAATCAGAAGGAGAATAATTGTAAGGTAAAAAAGTTCCTTCACAATAACACCCAGAGGATACCTTAAGTCTCCTACTTATTATTGCCAACTAAGGCTCTACGGACATTCAATTAGAATACACATTTTGCACCACAATCCTGATTAAATAATAAATAATATTTTAATAATATCTTAATATTTTAATCTATCTAACAAAAAAGATATATGAGTTCATAATTTTGGTTACGCTAAAATTATTTTTGTTTATTATTTTTTTAGGTAAATTACAAATATACTTCTTGAGATTTTTTTAAAATATGGGATTGCCCCTATAGTTCAAAAAATTATAAATATCTCCTTATCAGAATTTTTTTATTTAACAAAATTAACTGATAAAATGAATTTCCAAATTGTTCTCTTATATAATGATAAATTACTCAAATTGCTAATTGAAATAAATTTCTAACATCATCAAAAATTATTAATTGATTATAATTTATTAATAAAAATGGTAATTTATTATGAAATTAGAAATTTCAAAAGGCAGAATATAATTTTCAAAATTATAAAAAAAAATAGCATTTTAAATAAATCTCAAGGAGCGTATTTGTAATTATTATTATTTTTTTATTGTAGTATAAAAAGAATAGAACTAATCATTTTGGATTGACCATCTAGTATCTATATCTTCTATACTATTATTGCGTGGAGACCTAAATTAATTTAGTGAAACTTTCTTCTCCTCATATCATGTGACAACTTTATATATGCTAAAATAAAAAATAAAAAAACTATTATACACAACATAAGTAGGTTTTGAACACAAGACTTTGGATTTTATTAAGAACATACTTATCATTTAAGCAATATATATATTATGATATTAAATTCTTTATTATTCGTTTTTATTATTAGTTATCTGAATTGCACATGTATTGCATGTACCATCTGCTAGGCTGTGGTGGGTGTTGAAACATTATTTGTCTCATATTTTTATTTTTTAGAAATACCCTGTTAGCACATTTGTGTCTAATAATATTAGTTTTTCCAAAATAATCATATATTTGGAGTTTTTTGTAAAAACCATACAAAAAATAAGATATGCCTCAAACCCATGACTATGGATTTAATAATAAAAGCTCTTACTACTTGAGCAAATACACTATATGGACATATCTCTTTATCATTATTTTTATAAAATATATTTTTTTTAGCTGCACATGTATCGCATGTGTAGACCACTAGTATTTATAAAGAGAAGGTCGTGTGCACCCTCGTTAGGAGTACATACCATATGCATTCTACTATAAATTGATATAATTTTGCCACAAAATTTGATAATATTAATCACAAAATGCGTAATATCTTAACAAACTGACATAATAGAAAATATTGTAACTAAACCACAAATTTTTGTAACATTAACTATAACATTTTGAATATTTTATTATACTAATTTATATAGAAATTACGTATTTTATAATTAATATTATAAAGTTTTATAATAAAGTTTCGATAATTTATATTAGAGCTTTGTCATATATATTGCTTGGACTATGAAATTCGAAGTCTCTATTCAAATTTGGAAAAATACTTCCAATCAAGCTTACTTAACCTGGACCTAGACTGTCTACAAGTCAATTACATGACTACCCCAATCCAATTAGCTCAACCAACTTAATATATAATTATTACATAATAGTTTCTAAATTTCAATTCCCAATTCCTTACTTCTCATTTAGGATTGTTCTGGAATTAATTATTTTAGTTAAAAAAAAATTTATTTTTTATGAAAATACATATATAAAAATAAAGAGAAGAATTGATTTTTTATTAATAATTTTTTTACCTTTTCACTAAAATAGATTATTTCCAAACTAATTATTAATTTCAATTTCCTTATCCAATGTAAAATAATACAAGTTTTTGTTACACAATCAAATGCACTATTTATTACTACCTTTTATTTGCGATGAAAAAAAAAAAAAAAAAAAAAATCTAAATCTCTACAAGAATGCCCTTAGGGTCATGCTCCGGAGCTCTAATTGGAGCTGCAAAAGGACAGCTCTAATGAGCTGTCAACCAATAAAAAAAAATTAAAAAAAAAAAAAGTGAAGTAAAAGACAAAAAAGAGGGAAGAAAAAGAAATTAATAGTGCTCTATTACAACTCTTCTTTTAGAGGTCTAAATCATTTTTGATGCCGTTATTTTCCTATTCCATAGAGTGTAGAACAGTCAACCAATTCTCCTACTGGCCGGTCATCCAGTTAGACGATTCATGATTTATCATTAATTTTTTTAGGCCAAAATGCTATATTTCCTACATTCGAATCTTTAGGCTGATCGATCGCCTAGGTTTGAAATGCAATATCAAATTGCAAATCTGCTTAGGTTTCACTTCAGGTAAAATGCTTTTATGGTCTCATGGGTCCACAAATATCGTCAATTCAACAATTTTACAAAGGTTTCAAGTATTTTTTGATTCAACATATCATCTATGCAAATATTGAGAAAAAAACCCCTACCTCACATGTTTATCTACTATTGGAGAAGAAGGTGACGATTGTAGTCTGAGCTCTTAATCTTCTAAGCTTTCCCTCCTTGCCTCCCAGTCAAACTCAATCCTTACACTCACAAACCCTACGTGGAGAGAAAATAGAAGAATAAGAGAAAGAGAGGAAGAGAGGTTTGTCTGACTTTTGGGGTGAAAAAATGAATCCTTTTGGTGTATTATGCCACGTTGTAGTAAAAGTTACATATGGTTAAAGTTAGAATCGCAAAGTTATGTCATTTTGTAATGGACAAATTACGACGGTAGTCCTGTACTTTACTCCTTGTATCATTTTAGTCGTTGTAATTTTAATTGGTTTGATTTTGACTCTGAATTTATAATTTTGTTTCAATTTAGTCTAATTGATTATAATTCTTAGCATTATTTATAAAAATATATACATATAAATATCACGTGTCATATTTTTAAGGGAAAAATTATAAACATACTCAACTCAGTTAGTTAATTTCAACTAATTTAGTGATAATTGTTCTTAAAAAACAATAACGATATTATTAATTGGACCAAATTTAAACAAAATTTAAAGCTAAGGGTCAAAATTGAGCCAATTAAAAGTGTAGGAATCAAAACGATACAAATGGTAAAATATAGGGATTACTAGTGTAGTTTGCCCTTTTGTAATAAAACTTATTATCTTTTTGTGATGTGTTAAAAGTTATACTTTTTGTTGTGAGAAACGTTATATCATTTTGTGATAAAAATTATAAATTATTATAATATTACTATAATGTGCATACCATAATAATTAACGAAAATTGTACAGATATATTAAGCCCTTATACTAATATTCAATACAGTCCCTAGGCTTGCAACAATGCTACAGATACATAAACTTTTTTTGTTGATCGATAAATGAAGAAACTTTATTGATTTAGAATCAGAGTGAAACCTTACATCTTACATCAATAATGTGAAGGAAGACCAAAACAAAAAAACAACTGGATAAATGCTATACACATCAAAGCAGACGCTTAGATCCCAACTAGGTTGCCACCAAAACCTCTGCCAAATCATCTGCAGTATAATCCAACCAACTAGTTGATGAGTACTACAACCAATTGGAAAGCAGCCACACATCTAGGCAAAAATAGCCCCAACACACTAAATAAAATAGGAAACAAAGCCACAAACAGAGCAGCCACCACCAGAACTCCGCTAAACAAATGAATCTCAGCAGCCCTTTATACAATTCAACCTGAAGACAATATCATTAACAGATTAAGGCATACTTTTACTGTTATACATCACCCAAAGAGCTACATTGACTTTGATAGATTCCAATAGATTCACCTAATGAACACACTTTCACTCAAACTTAAATCCATTCATAGCTTTCCAAACACTCTAGATCACTGCAACAGGAGCAGCCTCCCAAACCAGTTTACCGATGCCTTTGAATTTAACCTCATTCCACCAGGTCAGTAAATTGCTGATAAATACAGGTAATGCCCCTTGAACACCACACCAAGACAATATCTCAGTCCAAATTCTCTACACCCCCCTAGAATGAATTAACACATGCTCCCCTGATTCATCTTCAGCC